GAAGGTGGCTTGTGTGCTGGCTGTGGAGGGGCCAGCCTGCAACCGGCACGGGTCGCTTTGAAGCATGAGCGGACGGGCTCACACGAGGGTGTTGCCGCCGTGAGGGGAGGGGGGAAGGGGGGGGAGGGGCAGGGGCGAACACCAGGGCGGGCAAGCATGGCGCGTCCGGGCGGCGGGGAGGGGGCCCGACGGTGTGCCGAGGCGGAGTCCCCCCCCCCCCCCATCCCTGGCGTCGGGCCGAACGCTCGCAATCCTGGCGGAGGAGAGGGGCGGGAAGTGCCGTGCCCCTGGGTGAGATCGGGGATCTGACACACATACACGGACATACACACACCTCGCCCCAAGCGGCGGGGCATGAGCACCACGCCAGGCCCCCGGCGGTCAGCCGCCTGTGGGGACACACACACACACGGCCTGTCGCGACAGGGGGCCCCTGACCTGGCTGGCTGTGGCGTCGCGCGGGGGGCGGGGGGCCCGGCAGCCGGGCCCGGGTGTTTGTGTGCACATGCGCCCGGGGCCAGGGGAAGCAACCCCGGCCCGGACAAACAAAGGCCGCGCACCCACCCATACGCACACACACACACACACACACATGGACACAGGCAGACACTGGGAGAGACAAACACACACCCATGCGATGGGGGGGGGATGCCCGGCGAGATGGCCCGGGGCCAAGGGCGAGGCGTCCGGCTGGTGTGCCGTCGGCGGACGAGGCGCCACATCGGCTGCTACGGCCGGACAAGGGCGCGGTTGTGGCCGCGGATGCCGAGAGCCGGAAGCTGGCGCGGCGCCGGATTTTCCCAGCACCCAAATGCGCTGGTCATCGCTTTTGGCGAACATCCGGCCCTCCCGGGCGAACCGCCTGGGGGGAGATGTGCGCCCTTGGCGGGTGACCATACCCCGGAGCCGCGGCGCACAGTGGCCCGCCGTGCGGCGGCCCGGGGGGGGGGGGGGGGGGCCGGGGTGTGGCGCGTTGCGCGCGCGTGCATCCCCGGCCGGCTGTGCAGCCAAGGGAGGGGCATCCGCGGCCAGAGCGCACGCATAAACGTGTGGCCGGGCCCCCAACATTCGAACAACAGGCGATCAGCCGGGCCGGCCCCATGCACGCACGCGCGCACACACAAATAGACGCATGTGTCTTGGTGTGTGTGTGTGTGTGCGCGCGCGGAGGCGAGAGGGGGCCACCAGCAGGGGGAAGGGGCAGAAATCTATGGCAACCGTGGCGCGGGCCGGGGCGACCCGGGGGCCACTTCACGGGCTGCCCGTTCCCCCGCCGGGGCGCGTGAGGAGGGGGGGTTCGGGCCGCGTGAGGGGTGCTTTTGAAACAGGCGTCTCTCCGGCGGTCCACCTCGCGCGTCCCCTCGCCGGGGCGCGCACGCCACTCGCGCACGCTCGAAGCACGACTGGGAGGGAGAGCCGGAGGGGGCGGGCGCCCGAAATGCCGCGGCCGAGGCGCCTTCTTTGGTTGTCCAGGGAGGGAGAAGGAGCCGCCGCCAGCCTGACCATGTCGACTGGCGGCCAAACGGCCAAAGGAAGCCCACGACAGCCGCCCGACACTGGGGCCCCGGGGCAAAGGACGGGCACACGAAATACTGTGGCTCGCACGGCCAGCAGGCCGGCAGGCCGCGAGGTGTGGGGCCAAACAAACAATAAGAGCCAGTAAACAGGCGCGCCGCGCCGACTCCGGTCGGGTCATTCGACCGGCCAGCCCCGAGTCGCCAACCGACACCGGCGATGGCGACCGCGACCCGGCCCCGGTATGGCGCGGACATTGGCCACCCTCCTCCACGGAGGGGGGCAGGGCGGGGCGGGGCCGGAAAAGGGGCAAAAAGGACCCAGGTGCCGAGTGCGCCCGCGCGCGAGGCTCAACAGCCCTCCTCCCCCCCCCCCCCCCCTGCCCTCTCGGGCTCCGGCTGCGCGCACATCCAAAGCAGATGCGGCGCACGCACCAGGGCACACGGCTCCCGGGGGGGGAGGGGAGGGGGGGCGCCAAAAGAAGGATGACGACGGGATGGCCAGGGTAATGCACCGCAAAATGGCCCATTAATAATGGGGGGGTGATATGAGCCGCCGTCGGGAGAAGATCCCCACTCCTCAAACAGCCACACGGTGAAAGGCCGGGGGGCGCAAAAGGCATGCGCATTTGCGTGCATCGCACCGACACTCGGAGCATACCCCGCGCCGGCCGAAAGCCCGAGGGCCGCCGCCGGCCCCCACCCCCCCCCCCCCTGGCCGACAGAGAGCCCCCTGCCGACAGTCACTCCGAATGAGCATAGCGCATTTGGGGCTCATTTGCCGGCAATATGGCCATCGCCCTGGGGCGGAGGGGAGGACAGTCGGCACGCCGGCGAGGGCAGACGCCCTGCCGCGGGCCCAGGGGCCGTCGGCATTCCTGCCGCTGCCCAAGCCCGCAGGGCGGCCGGGACCGGGCGACCGGACGACCGGGCGAGCGACGCGGGCGACCCGGGGCGGGGGCGGGGGGGAGGCGCGAGCAGCGCAGGCGTGGCCCTTCCCCCCGGTGTTCCCTTCCCGCGCCGTGCAGGCTTGACCCAGGTCGCCTGTGCGCCGATGTGTGTGCCTGCCCCGCCGCCAGTGCGACGGGCACCCGATAGGCGCCGAACCCTTTGGGTGGACGCGCATCGCGCGCGACTCAATGACGCAGATGAGCCGGCGAACACACTGGCCCGGTCGCAGGGGCTCCCCGCTCCCCTGGCGGGGGGGGGGGCGGGGGGGCGGGCGGGCGGGCGGAGCGGGACACAAACGGGACTCCTCCGCGCCCGGCACACACGGACACAGGCAGGCAGGCACACAAGGGGATGCGGCCCCGGTCGAGGGCTTCCGAGTCCCGCGTGGGCTCACCCCCTCTCGCTCTCTGTCGGCAGCCAGCTCCCCCTCTCCTTCGCCTGGGCCCCGGCCCGGTGTGCCCCCGCCCCCCCCCCCCCCTGCTGCCCCCGGGCACAGAGGGACCGCGAGGAGTCCGTGCCGCGCCATCGGGCCCCAGGATGATAATGCCACCCCGGGCGGGGCGCCGGGCGAACATAGCCAGCGGAGCTGGCCAAGCTGGCATCCGCACACGCTACCCGGGGGAGCCATATGCAAGCCCCTCCGGGCAGGGGCCTCCGGGGCCCGTTGGGGCGCAGCACCCACCCGGGCGCATTCCCCGCGCGCCGGCCGGCGGCCAACCGACGAGGCAGCCTGGGCGGCGCGCCGACCAGGCGCATGCTTGGCCGGCGCAATCTCTCGCCCCCCCTGCGGGCCTGCGTGCGAGGAGTGCCAGCAACCCGGTGGCCTGACTGTCGGTGCTCACGCCGCCAAAAAGGAACGGCCAGTCTGGGAGGACCGTCGGCCAGCATACGCCGCATGCGCCGCCCCCTCCCCGACAAGCATGCTTGCATGCATGCGTGTGTGCGGCGGCCGCCGCCGCCGCCGCCGCCGAGGGCCGGCTCGTCTGGCGACATCCCCGCGGGGTGCCGGCCGTCTCGACACACAGACAAGGCCCGGACCAAAGCGGTGCTCGGCTGCGGGGGCCATGCATTGGCTGGGCGCGTGGACGGGACAAACAAAGTCCACCTTCTGGCCGACACGCGTGGGGCCTGGCTTCCCCCCGGTGGCGAGGCCGGGGGGAGGGGACCGGGACAAGCGCCGCTTGCTCGGCGGCGCCTCGGGGCGCACCGCGACACACACACACACAAGCACAAGCACAGGCACAGGCACAGGCACAGGCACAAGCACACACTCATGGCTAGGAGGCTCTCACACTTGGCCGGTGGGTGGGGTGCCTGCTGCCGGACCGCGCGCGCACATGTGTGTGCGACCATGGCAGCGCACGGCCGCAGGTGTATGTGGTGCGGGATGCATCGCCCGAGGGTCGCCGCCAGGTACTCTCGCAAGAGTGCCGGCGGGTTTGTCCCTTGCTCTCTGTCTCTCTCTCTCGCAGCTTCGGGACCCCCACCCGCTCCCGGGTGATGAGGCATGCGAAGACTCGGCGCAGACGCACTTATTGACATGCATATATAGCCACTCCCGGCCTTCCAGGAAAAGTGCCAGGAGCCTGCCATTCCGCGTGCCCCTGCCCCTCCCACCTGCAAGGCAGGTCCCCCGGGGCTGGAGGCGGACGCCACGGGCCCGCACCGGCCCAAAGCGGCCACGCCCTTCGCGCCTCCAACAGCCGCGAATGCATACCACCCCGGCCAGGCAGAGGCCACACGGGCACTTGCTCTTCCAGCCCGAAAAGCCACTTGTCCTGGCGCCGGGGACCCGGCCTGCGAGGAGGGGGGGGGACCGGGGGGGAAGAGCTTGACCGGAGGCGGCCCCCCCCCCCCCGCGCGCACGCGTGTGCAGGGCCGGCGCCGGATCCCCACCTCCAGGCGCGCATGGCCTGGTGCGGGTTTCCGGGAAGCCGTCCAAGACCGGCTGGCGGCGCGCCCCATACCGCGGCCCCGTGGCATCGGCCAGCGGGGCCGTGTCGTTGGTCGCTTCTGCCGGGGGGCGAAAGAGGGGAGGCCGTCCTGTGGGACCCGGCTCCCCCCACATCAGGGGGCCGCGCCGCTCCCCTCCGGCCCCGCCTCGTGGCGGGCCTCGCTCATCGGCCGGGCGTGGTACGCCTCGCATCTGCCAGCGAGGCCGGGGCCGGGCAGTCGGCCTCCGCTCATCGCCCGAGCTGATGAGGCATCCGGCCGTCAGAGGCCGGTGCTTGGCCCGGGCCCATGTGCCAGCGGTCGTGCAGCGGCGCCCCTGGCGACCGGGACGCCGGCCCGCTGGCGCCCTTTCCGGCCCCGACGCTGGCAAAGCCGCCCCCGGCCGGCCAGCCGCGCCAGTGTCCCCCCCCCCTCCCCGCCCCCCTGCTGACTGGGGTCCGAGGGAGAGGGGCCACCACGCGCGCCCGGGGGCGGGGGCACCAGTCAGCCAGCCAGCCAGCCAGCCAGCCAGCCGGCCAGTCAGCCGGCCGGCCAGCAACAGCAGCGGCTACGGGCTCATCGGCATCCCGGACAAACACAGCCGCCGCAGAGTGGGCGGCCGCCCCGCCTCTCGGACCCGGAGCCCCAAGGGCCGGGGTTCGATCGGCCCCCGGGGACGCTCATCTGTGCTGCCTGCCTGCCTGCCCCCCCCCCCGCCCCGCCGCGCCGCGCCCCCAGGGACTGGCACACAGCCCCTGGGACCGGCCGATGGGGCCCCGGCTTCCCACACTCCGGGTGCAAACAAAGGCCCGGGAGCCGGCGAAGCGGGGTCGTTTGCGGTCGGCGCGCGCGCGCGCGCGCTCTGACCCCGCCCCCAGCCGGAGAGCGGAGAGGGGGGCACCCATCGCGCGGGCGTCGGCCCGAGTCTGGCTGGGATCCCCGCCGGGCGCGGAGGCCGCTTGCACACCGGACCGCGGCAGATGCCGCGGTCGTCCGAGCCCCCGAGCCTCCAGCCGAGCCGGGTGAAACAGTGCGGCCGTCCCGGCCAACGGGGCCCCCCCCCCCGGCGAGGGGCACCTCTCGCTCACTCTCACACCACACACACAAACTCACGCACATGGGCGCACTTGCTTCCAGCGTCAGCTCGCGCTGCCGAACACCCGGCGCACAATCGGGCGGCCGCGTCCCGGGCAGGACAAGCAGACACACATGCACACAGACACACATATACTCAGACACCCACAGTCCGGGCAGGGCGGGCGCTCGCGGGCCGTGCCCAAATACACCCGGCCACGGCGAAGCCAGCCCAGGGGCGGGGGGGGGGGGGGGGGGCATCCTTCCCAGGCACCCCCCGGCCGAAGGGCCGGAGATGATGGGCCCACCACTCCGACCGACTCACACGGACAGGCCCCGGGCCGCGGGGAGCAGCAACAAGGGGCAGGACGTGAGCCCCCCGGCCCGGGGAAAGTCGGCAAATGAACGGGAAATGAACGGGAAATGAACGGGAAATGAACGGGAAATAGAGGGACCGCAGGAGGCGGGAGAGAGGGGCGGGGATGTGGAAAGGCGTGCTGGGCCGGTGCGGCCAGCCCCGGGGAGAGTGGGGGCGTGGAGCCGGAAGGAGGGGGGGCGGGGGAGGGAGGGGGAGCGAGGCCGGGGTTGAATATCATCATGCCCACGGGCCCTGGATTATTGACATACCTTGCACGTGACCGGACATGCCGAAGCTCCCGTTGAAGGACGCCTGACTGGCGGCGTTCTGGTGGGACTGCTGGAGGGGCGTCCAGATGCCACCTGACGGCGGCGCGTCGCGTTGACTCGACGGAGTTGGCACCTGCTGCTGCTGCTGCTGCTGTTGGAGAAGCTGGTGGTGCATCTGCTGGAAGGGCAGAATGGCGGGCTGTTGCTGGGGGGCTCCTCCCGTGCTGGCTCCCGCCCCGGCGGCGGCGGCGGCGGCGGCGGCGGCCGGGACCGGGAAGGGGAAGGACGCGCCCGCCTGTCCGGGCCCAGGGGAAGTCGGCGCACTGTAGTGCCCGGCGCCGCCTCCTGCTGGGCCGGTTCCGGAACGGAGCTGTGCCTGTTGCTGCGCCTGGAGCAGCAGTGCTGGCAGGCACTGGCACGGATGGCCCTGTGCGGGGACATCTGCGATGCCGCCGAATGCACAGGCCGCCGAGGCACATCCCCCGCCACTGTGCAACAGCGAAGGGTCCACGAAGGAGGTACTCGAGGACCGAGTTTCCACCTGGCCATGGGATCGCCGGCGTTCGAAGGTCATTTGGTGCTGCTGCTGCTGCTGCTGTTGACTGCCGGCCGGCAGGATGACCGGCGAGGTGGGCCTCCCACTTCCACCACCATACACTGGCGACAGCGGATGCGCCGGGCCCACCCCATGGCCAGCGGACGATGCGGATCCCAGGAAGCCAAAGCCCGGGGCTTCCCCGCCGAACACCAGCGGCGGGGGGAGCTGCACGCCGGGGCCGCCGCCGGCCGCCGCGCCGCCCAGACCCGGCCCGGCCGCATGGTAAGTCCCGGCCGAGGTGGCCGAATGGCGCCGGGTGATGTTTCGCGGCTGGTAGAGGCCGCTGCCGCCGCCACCGCCGGGGGCCGCGTGGCCGAAGGCCGGCTGCTGAAGCGGGTGGTGGTAGCCCCCGGTGCCCGGCAGTCCCGGCGGCTGGAGGAAGAGATGCGATCCGTGGCCCGGCCCGCTCTGAAGGTGGCCCACCGACGGGGTATTCGGCGCCGAGTTGAGCGCCGTCGGGCGGCCTGCACCCGGGCCCGACCCCCCGGCCGGTGTCACCGACACGGTGGGGTGCGTCGGAACCGGGGCCACATAGCCGCCGCTGCCATTCGGGAGCTGGCATCATGCGCGTGGCAGTCCAAGCCACCAGCGGCAGGACCAAAGCGAAAATCCGGAGAGACCCAGGGAGTGGGGGGATGTCGGACAGGCATGTCAGTGTACCGGCGCCCGGCTGGCCGCTTGGTGCTTCACGGGGACCGTGTCCCGTCGGGCCGGAGGCTGGGCTTTCCCCCGCCCCCCCCCCCCCCTTTTCAGCTGCGCGTCTCCTTTTCCCCTGCCACGCCTACCCCCCCCCCCCCCTTGAGGTGGTATTCCCCCGGGGTATGAGCAAGGCCAAAATGCCCCACGCACCATCATGCCGCCACGGTCGCCGAGGGCCGAGTCACTGAGCCGACCTCCGAGGCGCCGCGAGGCCACATACTCGAAGGCCATCAGCTCGGGGACCGTGTCGCACGGTGCGCCGGCGGAGGAGCCGGCCGGCGGTGCGGTCGCCGACGCCGGCGTCGTCTGCATCTCGGCCGCGTCGCTCATGTCCATGCTTGAATTGCTGCGCGTGGAGGCGGTGGCGCCGGCTGTTCGTTCACCCTCCGGGATGAGGCCCGGTTGGGGGCCGGCCTCGTCGCTGTATGCCGGGGGGGAGTGCCCGGCCTCCGGGCCGCCGGGCTCACGCGCCGGGGCCCCGGCCTCCGGGTCGGTGAGCAGCTGGCCCAGACGGTCGGCATCGTGGGGAAAGGACCCGATCCCGGCGCCGGGGCCTCCGGCCAGCCAGGATCCCTCGCCCTCGGGCATGGTGGAGCCCGAAATGGCGGTCTCCATATTTTCGTGGATGGACTCCAGGCTCTCGGACACTATCATGGTCGGCTCGTGCGGGGGGGCCATGTTGTGGATCACAGTCGAGACACAGGGCGGACGCACTTCCCTGTCGTCATAAAGCGGCGTGTCTGTATGGGGGGTGCGTGCGTGCGTGCGTGTTTGTGTTTGTGTTTGTGTGTTTGTGTGTGTGTGTGTGTGTGCGTGTGAATGGATGTCTCTCTTCGATGCTGGTGGTTCGAGGCGTGCGTGCTCTTTTTTCTTTTTCTCCTTCTCTTCCTCTCTGTCTCTCGCGCGCGGGCACTCGCTCTCTATCTCTCACTCGCAGGGGTTCGCGATGTCACCGTGCTCTTTCTTCCTCGAGATGAGCTGGCGCAAGGTCTGTCTCTCTCTCTCTCTCTATCTCTCTCTCTCGGGCTCTCTCTGTAGCCCGGAACCGCGGCAAGGAGCATGGGTGTGGGCGGGAGGGAAGGAGGCGGATGCGGCGACGCGGAGTCAGACACATGTCCTGAGACACGGTATGCTCGGCGCGAAGGGAGGCCACGTACCCTGGCTAAGGCTTGACCGGGTGAGAGATCGACGACGTCTTTCTTATTGGCCCCGGAGGGCGGGAATCGAGAAGAGGGCTGGGAGAGTCAGTCTCGATGGGGCATTCAGTGTGCGTGGGAGGGCCACTCGACGTTTGAGGCGCATGCACACCCACACCCACACCCACACCCATACCCACCCACCCACCCACCCACACACACACACCTAGGGATGCCACTGCGACAGGGGTGTCCTTCTGGGTGGCGCTGAGCATCGGTGTCAGGGCGGCATTCGAGTGTGAGGGGCTTCGTCCCGGGGGAAAATGCAGGGGGCGCGGAAAGGAGACAGGAGAATCGAAAGTACATGGTGTCGGCGGCCGAAGCAGGGAGGATGATGATTCTCCGGCGGCCGAAGGGCTCCGAGAGAAGGCGTGCGCAGGCCGATACTCGTGGCCAATGTGAGGCGGCGCGTATGGGTGTATGGATGTGTGTGTGTGTGTGTGTCCGGCAATCGGGATGCTTGGGTGGGGGGCTCCGCTGGATGGACACCAAATCGGTGCTCGCGCCTGCCGAATAGGGGGCCGCGAGGTGTGTGTGCACAAGTGGCCGAGGGCGGCGAGGCAGTCCAGAGGCAAGTGCAGGGGAGGTGGAAGAGGGGCGGTGGGGCACAGAAACAGAGAGAACTTGGGAAGGTGGCGAATGTATGTATGCGCGTGGAGGATGTGTTGTGGCGGGGGTGAGTGTGAGTGTGTTTGTGAGTGGGTGTAAGAGTGGGTGGTTAAGGAGGCTGCTGCCCAGCAGGGGGAGGGTGGATTTCAGATTTTTATACCGCGCCTCACGGCGAAGATCGTAATTGCCAGCCGCCGGTCCCAGTGGCTTCGGGTGCAAGGCAGGTGCGTGTCTTTGCTACCCCCGACTTGCCGGCTCGACGACTCGATGCCCCCGGCCCCCGGCCCCCGGCCCCCGGCCCCCGGCCCGCCCCCTTCCCCCTCCTCTCCACCGTGCGGACGCCCGATCACCGGCGAGTAGCCTCCTGCCTCCCGGGGCCTGATGCCCGGATCCATCGGCGAGGGGGGCATTGAGCTGGCAGGCCGTCAAGGGCTGCACGGGCCAAGAGATTGTGGGCCAAATGCTGGGGGGGGGGGGGGGGGGGGGAGCCTTGTCGCAGTACGATCGTCCTCCGTTCAAGTGAGCGGGGGCGGCCATGCCGTTGGGACCCGGCCCGGTCGGTGTCTGAGCGGCTCCGCAAGTCTGGACAATTTGCCCATTTGGACGGCTGCTCAACGTGCGCAGATGCACATTTGCACATGTGCCCGTCTGTGCGGCGAGATGCAGGCATGTGCGGTGGTCAGAAGGCGGGAGGGGGGGGGGGGAGAGAGAGAGAGAGGCTTCTTCTGGTCTTTCCGCCGGCCTGCTCGGGGCGATCTTGTCCGGGAGCGCTACCGGGCGCAGTCGGCCTCGGGGTCTAGTTCCCGAAGGGGGTGGGCATACGCGCGCGCGCGGGTATCGCAACCACAGGCACCCGATCGCTCGGCCTCCAGGGCCGGAGGCGCTCGCCCTTTACAACCGGCACCTGCATTATTCTTCTCCCCATCTCCCTCCCTGTCTCGGTGTCTCGCGAATAATGCCAATTACCACTGGCCCGCAGGTGTGACCGGCTCTGTGGTGTGCAAGCCTTCATGCTGGTACAGGCGCGCTTGCCTCGTCCCCCCTCGCCCCCCTTCTCACGCCATTTGGGCTGGCCTCCCGAGGGATGGCGACTAGCATCGTGTCGCGCCCCGTCCCAGTCGCTGCCCCCCCCCCCCCCCCATCCCTCGGGCCCCGTCCCTCGCCCCCCGGCCCCGGCCCCTCTCTCGCCCCTTCCCCTCCCTGACCCCCCGGCCTGCCGAGTGGGACCCCCTCCTCGGCCCTCGACTCGCTAGAAGGGGCTTGGCGCGGCGGCCGGGCCTCAGTGATTAATTCGACTGGTCACCGGGCGCAAGTGCAGCCGAGCATTCCTGCCATGTCCGGCGCCGGGGACCTGCTGACATCATGGGCGGATGTCCTGGCGCCCCGGGTGCTGGGGGTGGAAGAGGCCGGCGTGGCGCCTCTGGGCCCAGTTGTCGGGGAGGACGAAGTGTGCTCGCCGCCTCTCGCCCGGCGCCCACGCCGGGGTGTCCCACCCTTCTCCCTTCCTTCTCCTCGATCGTGCGCCATCATGATGTCTCTAAGCACCGAGTCCTCGCCCCCC